AGCATCCAGAATGTATTTCTAAGCAATGCAATACTTAACTATTCAATAGACAGTAAAACAATTTTTCTCCATAAAAGTTCATGGAACAGAAATTGGATATATGCAAACATTATACAATACATAACTTAAAATGGAAAAAACCCAGCATATGTAACACACAGGATGGAAAAAATATACAAGCTGCAACATCAATTAAAGGAAATGAAAACCTCCTTTCCAAGCCATCTCAGACACTTTATTTGTGAACACATTTAATTATGACTAGTTCACAGACTGAACTCACTCAAAGTGAAAAATAGCAACAGTGGTCAATGGTCTAACATTTGGCCTCAAGTAAAGAGTCAAATCTTCCAGAATATTGACCTGGTAAGACAACTCAGCCCCTAAAAAGCCAACACCTTCTTGAGCCACTGACACCACTTCTGAGCTTAAGCTGTGTGTACTTAAGCCTCCTCACACACTCACCTTTGCTATCCTATCACACACAGAATTTATTCCCTATCTGATAAGCTCAGCTGCTTCATCTATGGGACTGCTGATGTTTGGCAGAGCAGCAAAGGTTCTGCTGTGAAGCAGCTCAGTCTGAAGCACTAGAGACAAGTGACAAGTGTAGTCCATATCTTTAACAGCAGAAAATCAGAATCTATACAAGGCAGTAAGTGAACAGAGTTTAAAATGGCAGACTAGAACATGTTTTCTCTGTTTTGTGGTATTATAACGTTATTCTGAAGATAGAACTGTTAAGTCACTACTGGAAAGTAGTTATTTTTCCCCTCCACAAAATTGGGAAGTTATTTATACAGGGTATGAAAGGTTTAAGTTTACTGCATTGCTATTAGTCATCTTCGACAGAAGTCCCTTCTAAAAAAAAAAGATAAATTTGATTAATGCTTTATGAAAGAGACTAGAAAACCACTAAAGTACCATAAGGCTAATTTCCTTCAAGTCAAGCTTGATCACTCAAGATTTCATTTTACTGCCCACTAAACTTGAAGTATATTTGGCAAGCTCCAAATTACTCCCAGCCTATTGAGCTTGACTAATTTTTCTCCTCCAAACAATCCTGTCATTTTTGTGGTACATCTTCAGCTACAAGAAATACCAAGCCAAACCCAAACCCTTCCCTAAGAGGCACACATCCATTCCAAATACCAGCCAATAAAAACATTAAGATCTTCAGTTAAAGAAATAAAAAACTGATTTAGTATATTACAGAAGATCCATCAAATTCCACTCCAACCTCAATATAGTACACTGCCTTACCTGTACCTCAAGAACATCAACAAAATGAACTTCAAAAAAAAAAGTTACTGCATGGGGCTCCTTCTTTGAAGGAGACATCTTTCTTAACCCATTTTTCACATCTCCTCAGCATTGCACAGGTGAAGATCTCAGCTACCACCAGTTGCTTACTGATGCAATAGTCACAGAGATTCAATTTTGCTCTAAACTACAGAGCCTATACTGCCTGTAGTAAGGCTGGTGAGCTGGAGAATGGTGTTGCTGTGTGTGACACGTTTTCACGGATAAAATAGCCTCTGCTGGTCAGTGTTCACCATCCTGTACTCTCTGATACTTGCACTACACAGTTTGGAAACAGAACTTTGCTTTTGTATTTTTCTTAATGTAGTCAATTCTGTATTCTACCAAACCAGGACATCTTTCTCTTAAGCATCACCTCAGATTACACATCTATTGGCTACTGTGAATTAACACATAAACTGTACTCAACAGCCTGTCTTCTTATTCAGCTGGCAGGCAAGGAAAGAAAATCAGAGGCTTCCAAAACGGAAAGTCGGAGGCTTCCAAAATGGCCCCAAATGAAAGATGGTCCGGCATTAGCAAGCTGTAGAAAAAAAAAACTAATTATATTTCTGGATTTCTGAAATAAGCCCTACTTTTTGAGACTGAGCTTCTTTGTGGTGGGGCATAAGAATGAACAAAATCATACAATTCAGTGAAGCAGGCTAAGCTCAGAAGCAAAGTTACATCTGAAGTCTTCCTTTCAAGGAAAAGCATTTCACACACTGTGGCTGAACACCCATACAAGCAGAGCACCTACTACAGCTGTTCACTCTGCCGGCAGACCTCTTTTCATCAGAACTCAGGAGCTTCAGCTGAAGCCAGGGAGGCACAAGTGTTGTGGAGCGCATCCCATAGAACTCACAGAGTCATAGGATCAGAAGCAATAATTGCACTGCAGAACCTCAAAGTGGGGAGCTATTACTGCATTGCAAGTACTGCAAGCTGAAATCTAATGAACAAATCACTTGCACTACTCATCTTGACAGCTCCTTATCCCCACAAGCCCCATGATTTCCACATGTTAATGAATGTATCAGTTAACTGTGATGCAGTATTTTAACCATGTATAAGTATTACAGTCCAACTCAAAACTTTTTTGTTAAGAGAAAATGCTTTCTATGATGAACTTAAGATTTTTACAGGATTCATAGCCAGCATGAAGCGTGTTACATTTCAAAATGAATCCAGAAGAGTCTACAAGTGAACCTAACAGAAGTACAAGTATTACTGTTAAAGGAACAGAAGAACAATATTCCATTGCTCTTCACATCAAACAAGACACTTCCACTTTGCAAGAGTTTGCTATTCTTCTGATGCAGCAAGTCACAAAAGCATTAACAGAAAACATTTCAGACATATTAGTCATGCATTTTTCAGACTGATGTGTCTACGCTGCAAATACTTGTACCTTGAGAAGTTATGCTATGTTTAGCTGTCCCCAAGAATCCTAGAGATTCTGCTCGATTTTGACCCACCATGACTTCCCGCAGGCAGAGAGTGGCTTTCATTCAAGGCGGTGCAGAACAGAGCAAACAGCAGCCCCCAGCTTTGTGCTCTGGCCACAGCTCCGGGCTGCTCCACTCAGCGCAGAGCACGGACAGCTGGCCCCTGTCCATGTACCTCACTGTCACATCCCTGCCTTTTTTTTTTCCCCCACCCCTTTCTCTCTCCTCTCCAGGAGAGAATTATACTGATTAAGTACTTTGCCTGTTACAGCAGACACATTTAGAATCATTGCAATTTAGAAAAGACCTCTAAGATCATCTGGCCCATCCATCAGCCATTCCACCGTGCCCACTAGCCTCGTTCCTCAGCACCACATCTCTGCGCTTCTTGAACACCCCAGGAGCTGTGACTCCACCTCCTCTCTGTGCAGCCTGTGCCAATGCACTCGCACTCTTTCAGAGTTTTTCTTCATATCCAACCTGCGCTCCCCTGGCACAACTTGAGGCTCCCCCCCCGTCGCTGTAACCCGACAGAAGCGGCCGACCTCCACCTTCCACAACCTCCTTTCAGAAAGTTGTAAGGAGTGATAAGGCTTCCCCTGAGCCTCCCCTCCCGCAGACTGAACAACCCCAGTTCCCTCAGCGACTTCTCAATAGACTTGTTCTTCAAAACAAGAGTTTCGAAGACAGCGAAAAAAAGTAACCCGAAAAAAAAAAAAAAAAAAAAAACCCTCACGCCAGATATACAAAACATCTGTGAGGCATTTCAGCAAGCACGAAGCGGCCGGTATAAATAGCAGTAGTCGCGGGGCTTCAGCGCGGTGCCGCAGCTGAGGAGCAGAGCCGCCCCAGCCCCGCAGGCCCCGCGCCATAGGCGTTCCGGACGCGCTCCCAGCGGCGCCCGGCCGGCTCCCGGCGAGGGCGGCCCCGTGCCGTGAGAGGCGCTGCCCCGCGAGAATAGGCGGGGACGGGCCGGCCGCCCCTACTCACCCGCACCAGGTTGCTGACAGCGGCCTGCACGGCCGATACGGGGGCGGTGAGGTCCGGGATAGCCTTGCCGTCCACCTCCCCCTCCTCGTGCATAATGACCAGGTGGGAGATCTGCTGGGCCACGGGCTCCAAGATGCTCTCGATGGTGCGCGTGTGGAAGACGGGCATGGCGGCGGCGGGGCGGGGGGCCGGAGCCCGAAGTCCGCACAAACTCCTGCGAAACTCTGTCCCCGCGGGCTGGCGCCCCACGGAGAAAGCCGCGGCCTCCGCCGAGAGAGAAAAACGAGAAAGCAAGAAGGAAACGCCACCGCCCCGAACTCCTCACCCCTCAGCGGGCTGCGGCGGCGCGGAGCGGCGGTTCCCGGCGCGGGCGGGACTCGAACCCGCTGCCCTCGCCTTCCCCCGGCGGCCCCCACCCCGCACTGGCACCCCTCGGCAGCCAGGCGGCGGCTTTTCAGGCGCCACAACCAACCCCCTCGCTCCCCGCCCCCGCCACCGCCCTCGCCCAATGGCCGCGCCGCCGCCGCCGCTCCCAGTGGCGCGAGCCCGCGTCCGTCAGCATTCCAGCGCCTCCCGCCCCCCCGCCCCCGCCGCCAAGCTGGGTTGCGCGGTCGCTGGTTTCCCAGCGTTGAGATGACGTCAGACATTCTGCTGTCCATATAAGGAGACGATTAAAGCCGCGGCGCTGGGATAGCGGCGGGGGGTGGCGGGATTCCTGTGCCCGCTCCTCCCTCCCTTTCCCCCTCCCGCGCCGGCACGAGCTGGGGCGGTCGTGCCGAGGGGAAGCAGGTCGCGCGGCACCGCGCGGCTCTTTTATCGAAGTCTCCGAGTGTGGAGCGCTGCCCCGCGCCGTGCCCGCGGGCACAGGGTGCGGCACGCTCCGGGCGCGGTCCCAGCCGCTTCCGCAGCGCTGAGGAGAAGTGCCTGGCGGGGGGTGCTCCGCCCCGCGCGGCGGGGAGCGGCTGTGGTGAGCGGTGTGGTTGCGAGAGAAGAAGGGCGGAGCAGAAGCAAAAAGCAACAGAAATCCCTTCTGTGGTGACTTCAGAGTGCGGCCGTTGTCCCGCAGTACGAGATGTCCTTTCTCTTGTAAATGCCCCGAGCACGCGGCCGTGCCAATGGCCGTGCCGGGCGATGGGGGTGCGCGGCACCACGCGCTGCTGTGCGCGGGCACCGCCATCGTAAATCGCTCTGAGCGCGGGCGCTGCGGGGCGGCACTACGAGGGAAGAATTAAACCTGGTTTTGTGCGAGGTTAGAGATCCCGGCAGCGCCTCTCGCACTGACTTTATCTTCTGTTCTTGCTCATGTATATCTATTGAATCTATCACGGTAAAAGTCGGATGGCAAATTTCTATGTGGCACTATCCGGATTTCTTCGGGAAGAGGAATTCTTGTAGTGCAGGCTTGATAACAGATAATCAAATTACACGTTGGCATTCAAGACATGCTTAAAATATCAACCTCTCAGCGGTACGGAGCGTGTTAACAGCCTTGAACTCTGCACCCTCGGAGCGCCTTGTGGTGCTGACTTCGTAACCCGGCGCCTACGGTTACCCCGCCTGCATCGCCGGTGGTGCCTCTTTAACAAACAATAGATCCGGAAAAACGAATGCACAGACAAATCCTTCTGGCCTGCACATCATCTGCAGCAGCTAGAAATTACAGAGAGGAGTTGGGGCACGTTTATGGCCTAATAACGTGCTTAATCCCACTTCATGTAAGTGTGCAAACTTAATAAGCCTCTTACTTCATTGTGCAACTTGCGCACAGGCTAAGTTCTCTGGTAAAAAATAGCCTGCTTCAGGTCTCGGGCCCTTTGTGCTGAGTCGTGTCTTGAAACAGGCATGCAGAAACAGGTTTTAAAGCAAAAAAAAAAAAAAAAAAAAAAAAAAGCAAAAAAGCATTCTACAATAATCTTGAAAGGCTGTCTTGGAGGATCTAATAGGTCTGATTACTGCAGGTGTAACAAAATACAAAGAGCAGATGGACATTTCTGGCAAACTTCTGAAAGTTTGCTTACCTACAGGTCCAGAATACATTTGCATACTTGAGGGTGGTATGGAGAGTTTGTTTCAGCATTTAGGTCACATTGGTGTAATTTCTGCCCAGGAAAAAGGAGCTTCTGTTGTCTGTAACGTATGACTGCACTGCAGGTTCATCACTGACTTTCCCTGCTTCCTCTTTACAGAAGATACTTAATTTTTGAAGCCACATCTACCAGAATTACATGTAATTGATAGCAATACACACAACGCTTTTTCTCAAGTACCTTCTTTACAGTGCTGTTTTTTTCTCTTTGCAGCATCCTGTTGCACTGACATCATACGAACAGCTTTGCAGCAGGTACTGTTTTGTGGCAAGGGTTTTTTTTTTTTTTTAAACATTGATTAGCCTTTTGCACTGTATCTGTAATTATACACTATGTATAGTGTATAATTACATATATACATATATATATACATATATAGTGTATAATCTTGAGAATTAATGAAACAATATAAACTGAAGAAGAAAACCTGAGGTTTCTTCTTCAGTTTATATTGTTTCATTAATTCTCAAGATCCTAATAGATAGAAAATAAGAGTAGATTTGGTCACAATACTTTCCATTTCTTGAGCCCAACATGGAAATGTGTGAATTCTTTTATTTTTCCTATTTCCACTATGTTGTTACATGTGAAACACATGAGGAAAAAGGCATGCTGAACCTCCTTTCCACATACTCACCATTTTAGTGATGTTTAGAATCTGTGTCTATCATTAGCAGTCCAGGAGTAACTAGCATCCAAAATGTGGTAAGATGGTTAGACTGAAAGGATTAGCTTTGAAGACACTCTTCATATCCATTGCAATTTCATAAGAACTCAGTTGAGTCCAGTTAAACCCATTCCTGCAAAAAAATTCTGTCAGCAAACTTTTTGCTAACAAAAATTTTCATTGAATTTAAGACCATAATACGTCTCCATCTTAGATGACGGATGAATAAATACTGACAAAACGGAATTTACTGAACATGGAAATGTCATTGCCTTACCTGCAGGTTTTTTTTTTTTTTTTTTTTTACAAAATTATGATAAGACTGCACAAGATGAAAGACTGCTTTATGCCTTGATTCAAGATGAAATGGAAGCATTGACTATCTACACTCCGATTTTCATTAAAGTTGAGTCACAGTAAAGTAAGAAAATATGAATTTGTGCTCATCCACTGAATATAAAGTTCACTAAATTTCCGTGATAATAATCAATTCTATCTTCATCTGGTATGTTTTTATTTCCATTACTTTGGCTTAACTTTTTGCTCTGACAATCTGTTTATTTTGTTTTCCACATAATATCAAGTTTCTTTTCCACACATAAGTATCTCTCAGTGAAGTGAAGAAATACTCTCCTTGCTTCCACTGAAACAAGAGAGATGTATGAATACAGAATAGTAGTCTTAGGTAGAAAAACGGAAAACGCTGCATGCTGACAAACAGTGTAGCTGCATTGCAGTCTTTGTCACAGTTCTGCATCCTGTGGTAGGTATACATGGCACTACACATGGCAGGAGCAGAGGAGCAGAGCCATTTTCACAGCTTTATGACTTTGCAGTTGTCTGAAACCATCAGGTGTTTTATTATTATGAATACTTCATCGAAATCAATATGCCTGGTTTAACTGCAAGCACTAGCCATATTATGCAGTAGTTGATTTCAGTTTTAGATACCAAAGCAGAGAATGATGAGGTTTTCTAAGCATTTGACTGTGGTGAATTGCCTACCTCTGGAATGACCTGATCTTGTTCTTTGACTGCTCTGGCTTCTAGCTTTCCTGAGTAACACCTGATTAGCTGCCTTGTAAAGTTTCAAGAAGTGCTGTATTCATGTATTGCATAAAACAGCACTGTCTTGATCCCGTGAAGGTTTAAGCATATGTTAAATGGATTAGAATCTCTTTTTGTCAACTTTTAGAGAATCTGAAGCTATTATTGATCAGTGGACATAGAATGCATTCTACAGTTTTCTTATCAAGCCATTAACTTTGGGTGATCTAAGGAGTATATCAAAATATTCTTTTTCTGAAAAAGAAAAAAGGATTTATCTTTTATGGTTTAGTATCTTCTGGTAGCAATGATAATGGGAGGACAGTTGGACTAGATTATCCTTTCCAACCTTGTGATTCTATGATTCCTTGTGGTAAAACCTGCCTTAAAGACATTTTAAGATTGGTATAGGGTTTTCATAGTACCACTATATTGATATCTCTAGTCTATTGCTTGTTGGCACAATAAGCACATCTCACACCTAAGAAACGACAAAGGGAAGAAAGAGCAGGCAGGAAATATGGCAGCGTAACTTCAACACGATGCTGTTAATATGCCTTGCCTTCATGAAGATGACCTGCCATGAGACTGGGTCAGGTTCTGTTTTGTCCTGGGTCTTGGCTGGCAGTTTGGTAGGAACTGCAACAAGACCAACGTTATACGATTTTTATTATTCATTTTTACATTCATATCACCAGTCACTAAATGAGATAGGTGGGAGCAGTCTCTCTACAGCTGCAAAATTTAAATCAAAATTGCCAGCCATCTCCTGAAGACCGTATTCATTGGACTCAGTTTCTGGTGTCTTTGTGTGGGTGTGTTGTCAAACGTAGTGAGGCTTAGATCTGCAGAGAATGCTATTACCAATTCACCATCTCCTTCAAGGATTTTCTTTCTACACAGCTGTGCAACATCTACTAGGAAGCATTTATCTTTTTAGCTTTGAGTTCAAGTGCCTACTGCTTTGAGCCCAGAAGACTGCACTAGCTACACTGCATTCCTTAAGTGGTTTTTATCTTGGAGTAACACAATTGTAACAGTACAATTCAAGGAATGTTTTTAAAGACAGAAGACGTAGAAAAAGATAGATATGCATATTTGATCTATTTTTATCTATTTATGTATATATTAATGCATATTCTAGAAATTGCTAACAAGGGATGATGCTCAAGAACAGGTTTTCCTACTTCTCAAGAATTCCAGACGAGATTATCATACAATTCTATATATGTAAACTTGTATGACAGTTTACATGTAGTTAAATTTACACGATCTATTCACAGTAAATTGAAGTAAAATATCTTTCTACTCTTCTGGCAACATTACTACTAATTCTGACTTCCATTTTGAGAAGGCAGTCGATAATTTTTGGGAGTTTGACTCTCTGATTAGGTAGAGGAGTACTGGTAAAAGAAAAATGAGTTGAAGCAAAAAAGTTACCCCTATGTCTTCCACCAAATATTGCACTTCAGTGGTGCTCTTTTAAATACAATGTTTAGGCAATGAGAGATGTGTATTTTTGTTCTGAGTTTGACAGTCTGGCTTATAAATAATCTAAGTGCTTTATTCACAGTAAGTGGCCTTCTTAAGTTATTTAACCACTAGTAATTTTAGCAAATATTGATGGTCACGTAAATGGTTGTGGAAATCAGCCAAATATTTTGAGCCTGTTTAAGTTAAGAATATTAAGTCTTGTGTGGGTGCTGTCACTCGACTTCAAATGGCACTTGCTGCACCATGATTCTTTTCTAAGAGCTTTCTGGGAGCAGTCAGACTCCCGTGATCAGCTTACAGAGACCCTGCATCTTCTAAGTGATATATGGTGACTGACTTCTCACATGCTCTTTGTGTATTTTCTTGAGATGTTTAGAGGTTGGCTTAGTTAGCTCTCTCCAAACAGTGTAAGCTTCCCTGTTTTACTTAACATTGCATTGGAATTAACAAATACCTCAGCTGAAATGCGTACAGTAAGTTGTGAAGTTTCATCTTCCTTGCAAGAAGATATCTGAACACTCATGTTTTTGCATTCAATTATGTTTACATCAATTTCAAGGACCACTTTATCCACACCAGCCTACACAGCTGACCTACTAAATGCTTGGATTTTAGGGCTGCACGTTCATCTGTCTGGTTCAGCTTAACCAGCTTTTCTTTGCCTCTGTAATATGTGCTTGTATGTACCAACTCCTTTTCCAGGAGTTCCTCATGTTGAGTGTGACTCACCAGGGTGTTAAATCATATGCTTTAGTGTAAGATTAGTCCAAACTTTGAAGTGTTTTGCCGGTTTAGGAGTCTCGTGAGTTATTTATGTGCCTATTGTAGAATGAACAAGTTCAATGTTGTGTACATTCCAATTCACCACAAAGCCAAAGTCTTTGGGCTGACCAAAACGTCTGGAAAAGCCACCAACAAAACTGAAATAATGCTATAGTTAGTGGTAATAAACTCTTTGAGTATGCATGTATATAATCACTTTTGTGTGTGCAAATAATCCTGAAGTAATTTAACTCTTTCTTAAACTTTTTGTGTCTTAATTACTGTATTTAGAACACATTATAAATATGTGACTTTGTGTTACTAGAAATAGGAGCTCAAAGCCATCAACAAATAGTAAACGGCTGAGTTACACAACACTTAAAGAGGCTATCTTGCTAGAGAGCACCAAATTTCTGTGTATATTTATGAACTCCATCCATATGTCAAGGAAAGACATAAATCCAAGTAATACATCACACTGATGCGCATTTGGGGATCTTATATGTGCTGTGTCCATTAATTCATCTCAGCTAAAATTCTTGCAGTGTCCCCAGACAGAGGACCTTCAAATCATTACAATAAAACAAGAAAATCAACCAATAACATGAAAAAATGCTTTCTCCTGTCCTAAGACACTGCACCTACAGTTATCTTAATGTAATTGGACTTTATATTCTCCTGAAGTTAAGTAAGACTCCCTGTAAGATTGCTCTGTGAATATATGTGTTTTGCTCTTCATTTCACATAAAAAAGCAGCAGTGTCATAGAAAAACCAGTGTATATTCAACACTGCCGTGCCACTCCTGGGCTTAGAGAGCATCAGGGTTGTAATGAGAGTTGTATACTGCTGCAAAAGGCAGAACTCAGACTTATATTAGTCCATACAATATTTCTGGGCTGAAAAAAATAAATTGTCTTCCTGACATTTTATGTTTATAAGAATTTATCTAGAATTTTATTGAAATGTACCAAAAACATACTTATTCACCTTACTCTCCCTGTTAGATTCACGGCTATTATGAATTAAGTTATGCAAGCCATACACATACAGAAGATCCCTGTACTTTACCTTACTTTCCTCTTGAGGTCAAATATTAGGAGAGTAGATTTTTTTCCCTGCAGCAATTGGATAGATCAATACAATGGGAAAGGCATTACTACAGAGTGTAATGATGGAAATACCAGCACAATAGAAAGGTGGTATAAACGGAGGGAAGAAGATTGCTCACCTATATCAGAAGAGTCTAGGTTTGATGGAGAAAGCTTCACCAAAGAGGAAACTCC